ACCGCTGTGCACACAAAGAGGGAGGGACAGGCCGGAGCTGGACAGTTTTGCACCGTCACCATTGTCAGTGCCTGTGCAGCAATGACAAGGTGCACACGTCTGCCTGCATCAGTGCATTAGCGGTTACTCCCAGCTCCCCCAGCCTGCAGGTGTGGACAGGCCACAGCTGCCTGCACGCCAGCTGTTTTGCACATCTGGGCATTTCTGTGAAGATGCATGACTGTGCCCAGCTCTCAGCTCCACACTGCCTCTGTGTCACTGTGAATCCTCCTGACCATAGCACCTTCAAAATGTGCGCCAAGTGCCCATGAGTTGTGCCAGAAAAGGACACTCGGGGGCCATGTCAGCAACCTGAAGAAGTAACGGCTACAAATAGGCTGTCCCCAAAGACGGCGTTTTGGGTGTCTGGCTGCCCAGATGGACAGCCTGTGCTGCGCCAGGCACCGACTCGGTGCTCCTTTGTTCCTTTCTCGGTTCCTGTCTGTGTGTAGAAATACACAATAAAGTGTTGCAGAAGTAGACCGTGTTGAAGATGATGCTTGAGTGCCAGCCTCTCTGCAGAGCGAGAGGTGGCAGGGCTGTGCAGAGCTGGCCTCTGCTCAGGCTGAGCCCAGGGCAGAAATCATGACAGCTCAGGGTCCCTCCTGCGGCTGTGGTTTTGGCTCATCAGCTAGCGTGGCAACGCCACCGCAGTCCCCCAAATGCATGTACTTATTCCCTGATACACGATCCCCACCTCCAGCTGCGTGTGCATCTCCCTCCACTTAAGGACCTCGACACAGCCCGTCCCCCTTACTACCACTCTGCGAACCCAGGACCTTGCTGTGCCCCGGAAAGGCGCTCACATAGCACATGCAGAGCCTCCTGCATACATCCGTGTGGCTGGTTTGTTTACAGAGAAGCTCTCGCCCTGCGGTAGGGCTGAACCTTCAGCCTCACAGCGGCAGCTGCCGCTTGCCGCGAGGCCTCACGGCGGCAGCTGCCGCTTGCAGCGAGCCTGGAACCAGTCTGCCTGCATACCTGCAACTGCTCCGTCCGCCAGCCTCAGCGCAGCCCTTCCGCAGCTCCCTGGGGGGACCCCCCTTGCGAAGGCTCCTCCTTTTCTGCTCTGACCCCCTTGTACTCCCAGCTCTGTGTGCCAGATGCATTTCAACCCATGCGAGCTGCCAGGCTCCTGCCTGCTTGCACTGGAGCTGCCTGGAGAAGGGGCAGAGGGGCTGGTGTGGGACGGGGACCCCGCACACAGGACAAACAGCCACGTCTGCTCCGTTAAAGAATAAACGGGTGGGCCTCCCAGCAGGGTCAAAGTAAACAAGCAACCCACCGCTTGGTACTGAGGGAAGAGAGATCCTGGGTAAATAAGCCTGGGAAGCAGTTGTATTTTTAATCTCTTGTAAGACATTACTGAGACCAGAAGTAAAATATTGCATTTCACGTGAGTTCGTGGGATTGAAAAGCATATTGAAAATCACAGAAAATACCTTTCAAAAGATAACCAAAATGGATTTTCCCAGCCCTTAGATTTGTCTCCTATATCTTACCTGAAATATGTTAGAAATTTCAAAAAATTACAGCATACATTGTGTTTTCACAGATAGCTGTTAAGATGACCCCAGAAGGCAAAACATGAGGCAGTGACTGCAAAAGTAAAGCTCAGTTTAGAAATACAGTACTTAAGAGCAAAAACTGGCTGACCACTAAACCAGCAGGTTTTCCTCCTCCTGGCTGCATATAGCACGTTCCCTTTCTGGAAGGTGCTTTAAGTCCCTGGCCTGTGTTGCCCATCCAGCGCCTGAGCCAGTCGTCCCCTTCGGTTTACATTCCCTGACATGTATTATTTACTTTTGTACACACTGTGCTCTATAAATATCTTAATAAGCAGAGAAGTGAAAAGGCAGTTTGCAGTGCAATGGAGGTTGGAAGGCGATGGGGGAATTGGCCGTGCGGCAGGGCTGCAGGAAATGCCATCCCTCTGATGATGCTCCATGCTCCGGAGCATGATGGAGAAATTCCTGGGCTATCAGGGACAGTAAGGACTGGGCTGGACCCTGGGAAATCTTCTGGGCCGGAAGGTACCAGCCTTGTGAATCACTTACTAAGGGGGAATGCCGCTGCTGCTCCCTGCATTTAACTCCAGCATGACCCACGCAGACATGACCAGCTACGGCAGAAACAACATGGAGTTACCTGTGCCTCATGCGCTGTTTATCGTACCACAAAGATGACCGGAATGCAAAAATTATAATGTTCGTGTAACTCCCCGCTTACAGATACAGACAGGGCTCTGTAATGGGTGGCAGAGCACAAGGCTGTCTCACCCCAGCGCACGTGCTGGCCTGCTGCTGCAACTGGTGCTGCCAACAAGTTTGCTCAGCTCTGCAGAGCTGACATGGGAAAGGTAAGTGACTTTCTAGCACATCCTGCTGGAGAGAGAAAACTGGGAAGGAACGCAGTGGGAAGCAGCGCTGGAGGGATGTGCACAGAAGCCCTGTGACGATGCAGCCGGGAGTCCTTCACCAGATCAGGTAACAGGTTTGTTTGCACAAGAGCACTTGTTGTGCCACAGACCTGTTCCCTCCCCGTCGCAGTTAACGAGGAACGTCTTTATGGTCCTTGCAAGCACATGTAAAAAGAGCCACACCTCAGCTGTGGGGCTGGGGGTCTCCTCCCCGCCCTGCCACTGGCAGAGCCCCAACAAACCATGGCAGGCAGAGGCAGGGTTCAATCATGCTTTAATCACCCCCCCAAGTGACAACGCATTGAGGGACAGAGCCGGGCTGGGTCTGGTGCTGTGGGGCAGTGGGGCTGGTGCCCAAGACCCTGCAGGGAGCACCAGGGCAGGCTCCTCTTCCCACTCCAAGCAGGCTGCCTGGGTGCAATGGACACCACCCCCTTCATCCTCAGCACCTGAGCAGGGCTGGGAGAGCAGCAGCAGGTCTGGCGTCCCCATGCGGGTGCAGCCCCGCTGGTGCCACGCTGGGGCACCGTGGGGCCGGCTGCCTTCAGCCTCTGTCACCATTCCCAGACCACCCCATCTTCCCCCTCCTCTCTGCTCCTTTCCTCCTGCCCCCAGCCATGTGTGGCCAAAAGCCGAGGGCAGGTGGGAAAGGGCAGGAAGGGGATGGAGGTGGGGGGGCCAGTGAGAGGCCACAGCGGTGGTGGCTGGGCT